GTTTACAACCTGAAGACTGCGCCTGAGAAGCTGCTTCTGACCTTGACGAACAATTCCTCCAGAGGGTGTCTGTCTGCAGAGACTGACTGCTTAGAATTTCAGTACTGTGGGGAGGTGGGAATGCTGCAGACCTTTTCTTGGGCTGAGTTCTGGCTCTCCAGCACACACACACACACACACACACACACACACACCTCTGTCAGAAATAGCATCTTGTAACAATAGATAAAAGCTTTTCGGACTCTATTGACTCTGTGGGCAACTGACGTCTGCTTCTGCCAACCCGAAAACCAGGAATGTTACCTGACGGCATCTTCAGATCCATCTCCATGTACCCGTCTCTGATGTGTCCATCATTGTATTTTAAACATACGACTTCTCTGTTCTCTAAAACTACGAAAACTTTGTGAGACTCCTTTCACATTGGAAGATGGAATTTGGGGTAACCTCAATCTGTATTCCCAGGCCATAGTACTCAAAATGGCTCCAGAACTAGCTGTCTCTTATCCCCGATATGAAGGAAGCTGTGGTTTCCGCATCAACACTCCCCTAAAGAGACTGCTCCTACTAAGATTAGCCACATCTGTCTCCTTGATCCAGCTGTATACCACAAAGCCCGCCTCTTTGTTTATCTGGAAGAACCCCACCTTCTTCTTTGGTTGCACGCAATAATGCTCTCTCTCTGCTCAGCTGTATATAAGAAACATGCTGAGCTTCAAGACGCTTCAGCTTCTCCATCAGAAAGCACAGTCTACCTGAACTCGGCTCTGTGTGTGTATGTATGTCTTTTTTTCCCATTCCCTCACTGCCCCAGTCAAGACCAAGCCCCTGGGCCATGTGAAGATTCTTCCTACTTGCAGAGATGGGCTAAAGATCTTGCTACTTGCTAAGATGGGGAGGCTTAAGAACTGAGTGGGCTTTGAACTAATGCATCACTCTTTGCCGTGTAACAGTGAGCACAACATGGAAGAGGACGGATCGAGAATTAAGAATAAAGAAATTCCGAGGCAGGCTGGCCTCTTGTACCTTAGGGGATAGGCCCAACGCCTTGCAGATAGTCTGATTATCTTGTTATGCGTTCATAAAGAAGTTTATTTTGGTAAAGATGCTCAAATTAGAATACACATGATTGGTTTACATTGGCAAAGTAATCACCCAAATTACATTACAAATGCTGAAACGCAGGCCGTTTATTACCCCGTCTAGCCTACTTGTGACTGTGTCAGAGAGATAGTGCAACATCCAAATGACTTCATGTTCTGAAATATGAGCTAGGAAGGGAAAGGAACTACTCACACGCATTAGAGGTGGGGACAGAGATCTTGTTCCTCCATAGATGCCTGTCCTTTGGCTGAGTAGTATCAGGGATACAAAGACAGAGGGGAAGGAGGCTTGTCATTTGGGCTCTGCACCCTTAAGGGATGCATGGCATAGTATCTCATCAGCAGGACGCACGCACACCCACAGAGAGCTGATTCTTGTTGTCGTTCGTGGAGTTATGACTACAAACATTGAATTAGCAATTATTGGGCCATTTCTCCTGGGGAAAATAAAGGGTTAGGTTTCTGAATCCCTGGTCACATTTTCAACAACCTTGTTTTATGCATTTCTCTTTAAAGATGCCTTACTTAATGTATAATATTGGCTCAGTAACACTGAATTCACAGCCAGCACTGTGTCTCATGCCTGAATGAAGACTGTCCAACACATATGCTCCCCATAAGGTGCATCACTGTCTTCCGGTGCTTAGGAACATTAGGCGGCTTGTCAGCACTGTACTTCAGGGTTATTTCAAACAGTGACACCATCCAGGAAAAATGTGAAAATTGGGGCTCAGTGGACCACCAAAAGAATAGCTTTCTACAGTCTGAGAAAAGAAAGGAGGAGGGATCATCGTCTATCCAGTCTCGACAGGAAGAGTGTACTCTGAGCGACTGCAGTCTGCGGCCGTCCTGGACAGACAGGTAAATGGCTGGACGGAGGCTGTGCAGAGCGCTTTGGCGATTACAGGTGAATTCAAATACTCAAATTTGCAAATACAAGACCATGAATGATGAGAGTGGATTCTCTATACTAATAGGATTTACTTCCAGGAATTGGCTGGTGGGGCTGAACTCAGCGGGGCAGGAGGCAGGCTGGAGACTCTCCAGTCGTGTGGAAGCTGAAGTTCTTTTTAGAGAAACTTGAGGTTTTCCCGTCAGTCCTTTCCTTAAGGACAGCTCACTGCAGATGTTGGACACCATCCACAGCTGCAAAATGCCTTCTTCATACCCACCCTGTGTGAATGCACTGGACCACTATGTGACCATGACTTAGATAAGTAGACACATAAACTGTCACAGCACCTGGTTGAAAACAAACAAACAAACAAGATTTGGATATAAAATGTCCCCTGAAGGTCTTTGAATGCTCAGTCCCCAGCTTGTGGCACTACTAGAAAGACAAGGGGTCTAGGTGCACACACAGGGTACTAGGAGCAGGCTTGGTGAATCACAGCCTGCTCCTGCTTCTGGCTCTGTCCTCTGCTTCCTGGTGCGCCAAGAAGTGAGGAGCCTTCGTCTCGCACTGGTGTTACCACAGACTCTGCCGTGTGGCCTTCAGCTCCGAGTCTGATAAACCCTTCCCTTAATAAGTGTGTCTCTGGGCATCTTGTCACAGTAATGGGAAAATGACATGGTGACCCTGGAAAGTAGGCAGGAGGGAATCACCCCCTTCTCGCCTTCCCAGAGGCTAGGACGGGAGGGCAGAAACTGATAAACCCTGTCAGTGGACCTGGACCACAGTGTTTGCTCAAGTCCCTCTCTGCAGGGGAATCTCACTCAGTGCACTGGCCAGAGTGGAACTAATGAGGAATTTCCCCCCCCTTTTACATTTAAAAAGGGGTTCTTCCTTTGACCCACAAGTTAGGAATTATCTTTATTTCTGTTCAATAACTTTCTTATGCCCATTGACTTAGCATCTTGTGCTCTGAGCTCAAGCAAACTGGTTGGTTCTCTCTGGGTTAATGGCAGGCTTCGATGGTTCCCAGGCCCCAGGGGGAGGTGCCCTTTCTGCAGTGCCATTGGGCGGTTGCTCAGGCTCTGGACGACAAGGCCTCGCCATTTCCTTGGAATCATGATATATAAGAGAAAGAGAGATCCTGCCCTCTTCTCTGGAACTTTGATTTGCAAAGGAGAGTATGTGAGCCAGCAGCCTCTACCACAACCGACGAGTTTGCTGTGGGTGCAGCACCCAAAGCAACAGAACCTGGTGCTTCATTTTTAGCAAGATTCCATTAGTTTTCGATAAGATGTGAAGTTGGAAAAGCAGGCTGTGGGTGGCCATCTGGTGCCCACACGTCCTTCGACCTTTAGCCCCCGATCCTTGACCCATCCTTTTACCTGTTTTGAACTGGACATCCCAGAATAACCCTGGCACAAATGGATGAGCACCTAAGTCCTAACTCCCACAAAGAGAGTTCTTGAATATGGCCACCAGCTCAAAGTGACTTGTATTTCCCCTTTCACTGTGGAGATGTAGCCCTTACCAGGAGTACTCCTACCTCAGCGCCACTCTGCCCTGTGCCACAGCCAGCTCCCACCCCTCCTCGAATTCCCTCTAAAGTGGGGCTAGGTCTTCCCTCTCAGAACTGGCGTGGAGAGACCCATTTGATGAGCCCAGTTCCTAGAGTAAGTAGGACCAACCGAGAGATTCGGGAAGCGGGGAACCAGGCTCTGGGTGTCCTATGTCTAGAGTAACCTGAGGTCACATATGACCTTCACTCAAGCTTTCAATGCCCCAATTTCAAATTGCTGGGAAAGCCACCTCTGAGTTTTCCATGTCTGTGAAGCCCATTAAACCAGTTTGGAATCTTAGGGTTCGACATGCATTTGTTTTTAAGGTCCAGTTTAACAAGGAGCTAGTGGCCAGCAAAGAGTTACTGTTGACTTTACAAGAAGTCTAATGGTCCCTTTTACTTTTATTAAGCATGGAATCCATTAACCTGTCATTATGGGATCGCCCCATTCCACGGAGGCAAATGGCTAATTGAATGGCCCGTCTTTAATAGTATAGTCTGTAATTATAAAAGCCATTTATGAAATTCCACAGGTTAGCTTTCCCAGAGAAGGAGGAGGTCTCACTGTGAAAACCAGCCTCAGTCCCGGGCAGCAATTACTCATATTTCCTTTTCCTCGTATTAAGACTTTAAGAGTAGACAATGGATTCATTCCAAAAATGATTTCAAGCTCCCCACACTCACACTATGGCCAGTTCTAGGCTTGTTTTCCGTGTCTTCAGAAGTGGGAAACCTGCACAACTGACTCCCGCCTCAAGCTGGCCGAGGCTCATTTTCTTGACGAGTCTGAATCACTAATCGGGTTGTCATCGCGTCCAGCTGGACTGAGTGCAGGTCAATAGCTGTGCAAATCAACTTACACGGAGCAGATTAATTATACAAGAGAATGAACGTATGCATGCCTGGAATGCTCTCAGCTAAAGTGCCGCGGTTCTGGAGAACGCTGCAGTTGGCTTTGTAAGCGGAGCGCTTGTGTGGCTCGCAACCCGTGTGTTTCAGCTCTGGAACACACTCGCCTGCTCCTGCATGGTTGGCATCCTCTCATTCCTCTGAGCCAGCCCAAATATTATTTTGTCAAGAAAGTCTGCCGAACCATCTCATCCGAGGGAGCCACATCCTTCTCCGCCAGCCATTTATTTACCATCGTATTGACAGTCTGAAGTGATCTAGATTGGTTTCTACATGTCTACGCCAAACAGGGTTTCTGAGCTGAGATGCTGTCCGTCTTGTTAGGAGTCTATTTGACACACAAATAGGTACTTAACAAATATTTGTTGAGATAAGTGAAATAAAACTCAGGGTGTGCATTTGAAACAATTCCTATAAAATGGAAGTTTACTTTAGGAACCTCTGATTCTGCCACCAGAATGTTAAAGTGAACTTTCTTTCATGAGTGTTTACCTTAGCCTGATCCCTGATGCTGTAACAGAACGAGACTGGGTAATTTCTAAAACAAAGAGGTTTATTTTGGTTCAGGAGGTCTGTGAGCACAGCGCCAGAATCTTCTCGGCTTTTGGGAGGGCCTTGAGGCATCATCTCATAGTTGAGCATCATGTAACAAGGCAAAGCAAGCCCTCGGGAGCCTGTTAGTCATCAGTTCGGACACCAATCCGCTCTATGAAAGCTTTCTTCCCAAAGACCACATCACACACTGTTAACATAATCTGAGACTTAAAGGTCCATCGATGAAATTTTCAGGGGACACAGCTAAACCATGGCCATATTCTTTCTGAAAAGCTTTGTTCTGTATAGTTATTGGTTGGTTTGCTTTGTTTCCTCCAAATCTGTTCCAAAATTACTTTTTCTTAATTTCTTCCCCTCTGGCATCTTAAGGTATAACAACAATGACCTTAAACTTCCTCTAAAAGAACCCACTGGTATCTGAAGGCCCAGCAAAGATCAGACACTGTTAAAAAAGTATGTTCTTCTAATCGGTGACAAGCTGAGGCAAACACAGACTTCCAATGTTTTGCAATTATTCAGGCTCTCCCAGTGATGTTTTTCCCCATAAAATTTACTTTACCCAATCAAAACAAAACAAAACAAACAACAACAACAATAACAACAAAAAGCAGGTGATAGTGGGGACGGTGGTGCATGCCTTTAATTCCAGCACTCGGGAGGCAGAAGCAGGTGGATCTCTGTGAGTTTGATACCAGCCGGGTCTAAAGAACTTGTTCCAGGACAACCAAGGGTACACAGAAAGACCCTGTCTCAAAAACACCAAAAAGAAGAAGAAGGAGGAGGAGGAGGAGGAGGAGGAGGAGGAGGAGAAGGAGAAGAAAAGAAGAAGAAGAAGAAGAAGAAGAAGAAGAAGAAGAAGAAGAAGAA